CGCCCATCCGGCGCACCTGTCTGCCCCCACCCCCAGCTCCTTTCCGCCGCGCGCGCGTGTGCTCGCCCGCCGCCGCCGCCGCCGCCGCCGGCGCTTCCCCTTCCCGAAGGCTTTTTCAGGCGCGCCTCGTTTCCAAAGTGACGGAAAAAGCACTGCTCGAGCTGCCGCCGCCGCCTTCGCTTGCCCCACGGAGGAGCTCCAGCCATGCCCGCCGCGGCCCACCTCGGGGAGCTCCGGGCGGCGCTGCTCTGCGCCCTGCTGTGCGCGCGCGGCTTGCTCCCGAGCCAGGCAGGTGGGTGAGATCGCGGGAGGCTCTTGGGCGGAGGTCCGCTGCCCTCCGCCGGTCGTCGCTTCGCTTCTCTCGGGGCGGGGACGCGGGCGCAAAGTTTTGGCGACCTCCGGCCTCGAGGTGGATTTGCCACGGAGGCAGGGAACTAAGGGGGGAGGGGGTGCAAGTCCCCCCCTTCCCCCAACACGCTCCGCCTTGAGCCTGTCCGGCCCCCGTCTGGAGCCATCCAGAGGGGCTGGACTACAGCGGCCATCATCCCTGCCCGCCCGATCAGGAAAAGTTGTTGAAGGCTTTGCCAGAGCATAAAATAGGTCAACTCCCTTCCGAGAAAGAGCATCAAGTTCTGTTCAGGCGCTCCATGCTCCACGGAGGAAGTTGCTTTCTGGCTGAAATAAAAAGTACAATTTGTGGTGGGTCCTAATAGTCACCATAATGTTATGGGATCCTTCCTCCAACATTTCCTCTCCCCCCCCCATTATTTTTCACAACAACCCAGCGTGGGGGTGAGAGTAAGTGTAAAAGCGGCTGATCTGAAATCTCTGAATAGCTGCATTCATACAACCCGATCTGTTGAACACCCCATAGTTGTATTTGCACCGCATCCTGGTTTATTTAAACTTTTTTCCTGACTTGGTATATTGTGCAAAGAAAGCTTGTTTGCGCAAACCCAGATAATAACTTAATTTCGTAGTTAGGCTCAGTGTGATGTGTGAACACAGCCAGTAGCTTTATTGGCCTCTCTGGGTTTGAACCCAGGTCTCCTTGGTCAAAATCCGATGCTCCTCCTAGATCACTCATTCCTCTGATTCACACATATATGTTGAACTCTTGATAGCCACCATGTCCAGTGACAAGCATTGTAAATAGGGCATTTGGAGTTCAGCTGTTTACCTTGCAATAATGCAGGACTTTAGGGGAAGTTAAGCCTTGCACCTAGCATGTTACAACTACTTGTGATGTTGAAAAGACCCACATTTGGGGGAGGAAAGAGCTTGGCCCCACAGGCCGGGATTCCTTTCTACTTTGTTTTTGTCATTTGGCCAAAATAGCTGTGATCCGACTATAGTTCTGATTAATTCGAGGAAAGGTGATTGGTATTGCAAATCTATTCTGTAGATGTGAAAGCCTGTAATGATTTCATTTCTGCGAGCTGTGCATCTTGCTGTTTCTGAGCATACTGATCCGAAAACCTAAATCCACCCCAAATCCAGAGGTTTCATTACAGACACCAGATATTATTGATGTAACTGAAGAAGTCCAGTATAATCACTATGTGTTTGGAATTTGTTCCAGATTTATTCCAAATACTGGGAATCTGTGCTTTGATAGTACCTTCCAAAAAAGTCAGTGTGTCAGTTTACATGTGAAATGTTTCTACCACAGAACCCATGCGTGGTCAGCAAACTTATTCCACGCCAGTGATTTCTGTAGAGGGTGAGCAGCACATTAATTCTTTCTCTCCTTCACTTGTTAGTGTGCATAATGCCAATCTGTCTTGGTGTTCAGTTTTGAGTATTTAAGGAAAGTGGTTTAGAAATGCAGATGGAGCCATACTGTGCTTTTCGCCTACTCTGTTTTTTTTTTTTTTTAAAACAACCTGAAAAGATACCAGCCCATTCATTAAGAGCAGTCTGAAGTTTGTGGTTCATGCATGTGGTACAAACCTGTTGTTCAAAAACTGAACAGGCTCTTGTGTTCTGTGGCTGGATGTTATGGCGTTATGCGCTTTGATTTGTGCCTTAACAGGTTGTGTGAGCTCATCTAAACTGGAGTTTATTTGGTGAAGAAGTCAGTAGCCCAGGAATGTGTACCATTTTCATGGCTGGTGGACACATTTAACATTTTGGGGGTGGCTCGAGAGATCCTGAAACTAAGGCAGCAATGCAGAGTGCGTCTCACAGCTAGCAGTGTTCACAGATCATGATTAACTAGGGTACTGAATTAACCCATTTGGGGGAGTTGCGCAATGCATTGACCTATCAGCTAATTCAGTGGGCTGGGTTCCCATAACATGCTAAATATAAACAAAAAAATGAGGTTAACCCTAACCAAGCTTAGCACGTTGTGCAAATGAGGTCACATTGGGAACAGGGTAGTAAGCCAGAGGCTGGCAGCAGTCTGGGTCTTTGCAAGCCTGGATCTTTTCACTCAGGATTGTCCAGGTACTAATTTAGGGCCTGCGCTGTGTTAATGAAGTTATCTGAGGATGCAAATGGGTGATGCCCGCAGTGTAATCTGAATCCGTGGAAATAGGAGAAGAAAGCAAGGATGATTTCCTTCTGAAGCCGTTCCAAGTGCTTTATAAGCAAGAACGGAAAGTGTTGTGCAGACTCTTTTAAACACCTGGTCTCCTGTGATTGGCTCTCCCTGGGGGCAGCAGTGGGTGGATTTTGTGCTGGTGTGACCTGTTTGGTTCTGTTTTTTCACAGTGTCCTGAAGTCTGCCAATCAGAGTTAGACACAAAATGAGGCCTTGAGGGCAGAGTCAAGTGTCTACTGTTAATTATCCATTATAAAGCCCCCCCCCCCCCCGGAATACATGCCTAAGTGCACGCGTGTGACCTGGAGATCAGGGATTTTAACAACAGATTTGCAGTGCAATGCTCAATACCCTGGTATCCTTTTGGGAAGAAGGATGGTATTTGCTGGACGCACTGCAAGATCGGGGTGGGGGGCAAATATGAAAGAAGGCTGAACTTCTGCTCCAGTTATCCGGGATGTCATAAGGGAAGCGTCAGCTTGGATCGTGATTGTCTTGCAGGGTGGTGAGAAGATGCATGTCTGAGTGCCTATCACAGATCTCCTGGCCTCTTTTGTGTTCTGCTTTCGGCCCTGCTCAAAATATATTATGGACTGGAGTGGGTGACTTTGCAACCCAGGAAGGTACCTTGTAATAAGCTGGATCTGCTTATGGATGGTAGCTAGTCTGCAGGATTTCAGGTCAAGGTTTTTCTCAGCCAAACCTAGAAAGGTTGAGTTTTGAACCCAGGACCTCTGGGTGTACCATAGATGCCCCCTCACTGAATTGCAGTCTTTCCTTTTAAGCCAGTGTTTCTCAACCTTAGCAACTTTAAGATGAGTGGGCTTCAACTCCCAGAGTTCCAGTCCACTCATCTTAAAGTTGCTAAGGTTGAGAAACACTGCTAAGCTCTGGTCTTCCTCTGGGACCAGAGTTGTTGGAAGTCTGGTGGCATATACATTTGATAAATAATAATAATGGGACTGCATGCCATATAACTCTCCTTGGAGCCATGCTTGCAGATAATTCTGGCAGGCACACTTACTCAGGAGTAAGTTTCACTCTTTGGAAGAAGTTACACTCCTGTGCACGAAGATGCTGATTTTGAGGTCGTGGGCCCTTCCAGATGCTGAAAGAATCTGTAATGCAGCAGATGGGAAAGTGGGCAGCTTTGCTTCGTGTCCCTCACTGAGAGTTGCTGACGGCAGGGATGAGGGCTATTGTTAAATGTGTGAACAGGACTTTGTGGGTTGGCTGGAACAGATGGGAGGAGATCTTGAAGCAGGCAGTGTTTCCCCCCTCTCCCTCTGTCCAATGCAGCATGCCAGGATTTGAAGGCATTGGGTGAAGCATCCGATTTCTCTGTGCTTGTGCAGTGACAAAAATAGCTTGGCTCATTTAACCACACACACACGCGCACGCACACACACAACCCCCAAACCTGCTAAAAATTTGGAGAACCAAGTCCTGTTTTCTTACTGGTTCTTGTGTAAATCACTCACTGCTAGTTAAAGTGCTATAACCAGAATACTGTATCCATGGCAATAGGGCCCATCAACCTTCCACCATAGAAAGATAATTGGTTAACTTTTGAGAGAGAGAGAGAGAGAGAGAGAGAGAGAATGTGTGTGTGTGTGTGTGTGTGTGTCAATAGAAAAGACTCCCATGCTAAGTTGCACACTTTCTCCTCCTGATTGATAAGCTAGTTGCAAGAGGCTGGATTTTGCTGCTGCCAATTGCCTCCCACTCTCAACCTGGTTCCAGAGTTGCTGTCCTGCTAGGTTGGGCCCTCTTTGGGTTTGAGTAAATATGCATGGGATCCTGCTACTATCCAGGCCAGTGTTCTCTTCCCCCAGTGGCCAAAAGGTATCTATCAGCAGCCAGTGGGAATGAAACACTCTTCCAGTTGTGTTCCCACCAATATTCCAGAAGTTAGAATGTCTATAAACCATGGAGAGCATTATCCTGTAGGTTTTAAATCCCTTTTTAAACTGTTGAGTTGGTGTGTTGCTACACCTTGGGATGTTGTATGGTTATATGATTAAACTACAAGTAGTCCTCGACTTATGACCATGATTAGGACCAGAACTTCTGTTGCTAAGCAGCGTGGTTGTTAAGCCAGTCATGCCCAATTTTACAACCTTTTTTGCCATGGTTGTTAAGCAAATCTGGCTTCCCCCATTGATTTTGCCTGTTGGAAGCCCCCTGGGAAGGTTGCAAATGGCAATCATGTGACCCTGGGATGCTGCAACCATTGTAAATATATGCCAGTTGCCAAGTGCCCAAATTTTGATCATGTGACCATGAGGACACTGCAATGTGACCATGGTCCTGCATGTGACCATGAGGACACTTACGACCGTCCTCACACTGCAATGTTAATAAGTGTGAGGACGGTCGTAAGTCACTTCTTTCAGCATTGTTGTGATTTGAATAGTCATTAAATGAATGGTCAAAGTCGAAAACTACCTGTATTGAAGTTAACAATGAATGAGCACTATGAGGAAGTGTTTTCTTTTGCCTCATTTAAACCACCATTTTTAAAATTTATTTATTTTTTATGTGCATGTTAAATTATGGCATACTAGGATGGTTTGGAGTAGATACAAAAACTCTTGAATTTGTGTAGCTTTGTCAAATCCCATGTTGAGTATTATCCCAGTTTTGGGCACCACAATTGAAAAAGGATGCAGACAATGAACTATAGCAGTGTTTCTCAATCTTGGCAACTTTAAGATGTGTGGACTCCAACTCCCAGAATTCTCCAACCACCACAAATTCTGGGAGTTGGTGTCCACATAACTTAAAGTTGCCAAGCTTGAAAAACAATGAGCTATAGAAAAGGGCAACAAGAATAATCAATGGTATGGAAACCAAGGCTTATAAGGACAGATTGAAGGAATTGGTATGTTTATCTTAAAAAGACTGGGAGGATGTTACAGAGACAAAGGCTGAAATCTGTTCTTTGTCATCTCAAAGTACAGGGCACTGAATAATAGTCTTTTAAGTTACCAGATTCTGAACTACGCTTGATTTAAGTCAATGTTTTCCAATCTTTGCAACTTGAAGATGTGTGGACTTCAACTCCCAGAATTCTCCAGCCAGCATGAATTTTGGGAGTTGAAGTCCACACATCTTCAAGTTGCCAAGGTTGAGAAACACTGTGTTCCATAGTTATCTTGTTGTGAGATGGGCAGATACATAAATCGTAATGATAAATAAATAACATTGGTATTTTTTGCATGTTTCCAGTGGGGGAACTATGTTCACCTTTTATGCCAAAAACAACACAGAATCTTGTGGTGTTTTAAAGTCTAACACTTATTATTGTACAAGCTTTTGTAGATCACAGTCTATTCCATCCAGTGCATCGACTGTAGTTTGAGAGAACAATATTGTTTTCTCCATGGGATACAGAAACTAAACATGCACGTGTGCGTGTGACACCTGCCCGCAGGCTTACAATCTAGTACAGTGTTTCTCACCCTTGGCAACTTCAAGATACGTGGACTTCAACTCCCAGAATTCCCCAGCCAGCATGCTGGCTGGGGAATTCTGGAAGTTGA